AACACAGAATCTTTGCTTTCTAGCTAGATTACTTAAAAGGTAAGTCAGAAGCTTTCATAATCTGTTATCAAGAACTGACCAGTACTTCCAAGAAAACTTTGTCCTTTTAGCACATGAAAGAAAATTATATAAGCATAGTATTGATATTAAAGCTTATAAAAACAAACAAACAAACCCTTGTAAACAACAATTCGATTTTAGTCAAGTCAACCACAAGGTAAAATTCATTCTTTCTTCTCTACTTTCTGTACCATTTTATCCTTTATTTTCCTCTTTGCCATTCTGAAATAACCAGTTTTACTTTAGACAAATTTACTTTCTTTTCCCTTAATAAATATACATCTTCATACCTCATACCTTCTCTTAGCTAAAGATATGTCCTACCTTCCTTGCATGCAGAGAGATGTTTCCCATATTATTTCTAGTAGTTGTAATTACATATATTAATTAGAACTCTTAGCCCTCAGAAACCTTAATTTCTGATAAAAAGTAAAAAGCAAAATTTGTGAATTGTTATACCAGCATTCTTTAGGTTGGCAAATTTATGTGTTTATATTTCATAATTTCTATCAATATATATTTCCTCATGGTACAACTTTTCAGTGTCACAAGACATGCTTACCAACAGACCCAAATATCTTCAGTTTCCTCTGTGATAAGAGGTCAAAAGTAGGTAAACTTCGACTTGTTTTGCAATTAATGTTTCAGTATTTTATTTGGAAATGATTTAGACATTCAATGAATTCCCTTATTCAGCAAAATTCTAGGGGTGAAAGTTAACAAAAATTTTAGAAACTAGTTTTAGCTGGACATAACACATAATTATTCCTGAAAAGTTCATCTAGAAACTCTTATCCCATTTAACATTTATCTAAATTACTTGATCACACCAATTATGTTTAGACTGTCCGTGAAAAACTTCATTAGGTAGCATCATGCCCAACTACTTTACTTGCTGACAGATTTTGTAATAGAGATAACATGAATTTATTTGACTAGTAAATCCAGGTACATTTTTATCTGCATTTATTTAACATAATTCCCATTATATTTATATGATCTCTGTGTTTAACATACAGTACATATATGTGCATGATATAATTATGTTAATTATAGATTATATAGGTTAATTATATATAATCTGCATTTTATTAAATATGTGTATATCTGAAGACACTTTAAAAAATTAAACCACATTTTTTTTTTTTTTAGATTTTATTTATTTATTCATGAGAGAACACACAGAAAGAGAGAGGCAGAGATACAGGCAGAGGGAGAAGCAGGCTCCATGCAGGGAGCCCGATGCGGGACTCGATCCTGGGGACTCCAGGATCACGCCCTGGGCCAAAGGCAGATGCTCAACCACTGAGCCACCCAGGCATCCCATAATTAAACCAAATTTAAACTAGCTTTTACTTCCCAAAGATTATCCCAGGTCATGTGAACTTGAAATATTTGGGTTAGTTTCAGTATTACAGAGTTTTAGGAAGACTTAATTCATAAGTGCTTATTTTTAAGCTAATTAAATAGAGTTCTTTTGCAAATTAATTTTGGCAGTACCATCTAGAGGTTGAGAGAAGAAAAAAATCATACACATATAACATACGCATAGATACACATAAACATACAGGCAGACACAGAGACCTGCAGCATCAATTCCAGCATTCTAGTCATGAATCAGGTACAACAGTATAAAATTCACTATCGTATAAATAACAGCTGAATCCAAATTGGCAGACAGAATAAGTTAAGGTTGCCTGCTCCAGTGGCTAAAGCTTTGTACTAGTATTTGTGGAGACTTTTAAGGTTTGTATTTATCCTTAACAAATAATCTTAAGGAGGCTGGGACTAGAGTTTGGGCAAAAGAGCTTTTATAGCATTTTGTATTTTAAAAGGTTTTCCCCTCTTTTTTCCTTTCAGTCTCTGGCAACTCTGGGCAGAGTTTTAGTTACCTCCTAGGGTGTTTACTTTTCAAAGTCACTGTAGTATTTACATCTTCAAGGGATAGAGAAAGAATATAAGTTTTCTCCTAGGAGTTCTAGTGCTTTTTTGATGGTTTCTGATGTCAAAATAAAATGTAGTAGTGCAACCCTGTATTTAGGGGAAGTGCCTTGTGAAATAATCCTCTAGACTCAAGGTCAAATGGGGTTTCTTCAGGTTGGAAATGAAGAAGGGGTCATCTGGATCACTGTGGTCATAGAAATGATGAACCAGTTGGACCATGGGAATTTTGTGTAGTAGGAGATGGGCCACTTCTGGAAGCCTTAGCAATGATCACTGTGATGGAAGGATGGGTACGGTGCCAGACAGCACATGTCCAAGTGAGAAGAGGGAGGCCTAGAATATGAACATCAATGGCTCTAGGGGCCTTTGTCTTCCTATTTCCGTCTTCTTTCTCAAGAGAGGCCTTGATAACCCTACCCTGTTTGCTCTTCCCTTGATAGCAGGGAAACCTCATGAAGCATGTTTATAGTTATGCCCTGTTCAGCAGAAAGCTGAGAGGGCTCAGAATCTGTACTCTCTCAGAAGGAATGAGCATTATAGCCCAGATGGATCTTAAAGAAAGCTATGGGTTTTAGAGTCTTGAGAGATACCACCCAGTTGGTGCATTTTAGCCGCTGCGAGTAACAACAGTTCAGAGCCTGTTCCAAACAAACAGGAAAACCTGCAATAATCAATTAGTTCTCCTTTCTCTTTCCTGCTGCATAAAATATTTAAGAAAGGTTTGAATTTATATCAGTTAAGATATAGCTTTTGATCTCAATTTCTACTTCTTGTTTTTATCCTGTTACCTTAATCTTACTGGAAAACTAGTTAACCAGGAAATTTTGGATGACATCACTGTCAGGTAGGTGCTCTTTGTAGGTGGCGCTTTCCTTTTCAGGGTGTCTCAAGAAACCTCTTTGGAGTTGGAGTCTGCCTTCGGTAGCGTGATATGCTCAGGGTCTTTGGGAAAAGCCTCTCGGCCTCTGGAGCATAAACCAGAGTCTTGGCATTTTGGTGTGCATAATTGAGTAATACCTAGGAAGTGTCCATGAGGTTTTGTATTTATCAAGGAGCTGCTATGCCTCCTCAGGGTTCTTAGATTCTTTAGGACATTTATGTTTGTCCATTAATTTTTTAGCAGTACCACACTTGGGATTGAATCCATAGTATCCTATTGGGTCAGGGGACAAGTAGCAATGGTGGTGAGTGAAGTGGTGGCACAGAGGCTGTAGGCCTCTGTTATATGTTCCCCCCTGTGGTGCTATTGGCTTCCATTTGCAAGACTGTTTCTCTCTTCTGAGTTAGGACATCTATTTGGGCACAACCCATTTGACTCAGTGGTTGCAAGTGGAAATCTCCAATTCCTCCTTAGCTAAGGGAATTATTTCTATCTACCTTTGGCCCAGAACCCTCCTTGGGCAGTGACAGTAGCCTTGCAGTCTAATCCACCCTCCCTCAATCTCCTTGGCTTTGGAGGACCCTTATACATATTGTCAATTAAGACCTTTACAATTAGTAGTCTGATCATCTCATTAGACCATATGGCTTTAATCATGCTGCTCTGGGGATATTCTTGCATTATTATGGCAGCTGTGACCTTTTAGGTTGGATACTTCAGGCAACACACAACACAGGCGATGTGTGAAAGCACGTAGCAACACAACAGACCCCAGCTAAAGCTGCTTCTTTCTCAGATGATGAGTTTGGCAATTAATAGGCAAATTGTAGGTAAAAGCAGTCCTGTTGGTTAATTGCAAGGGCAATCAAGCAGTCCTGCGAACTATGGCAATGGTTGTATATTGGTCTCAGCCTGTCGATAACAAGCCTCAGCTTGTGCCTAGACCAGCCCTTGTGGTTCTTATTATGATTGCAAAATGCCCTTTAACATTAACCATCAGGAAACTGAAAAAAATATATAAAGGTTTATTACTTATGGGATCTGGATATTACGCAGCACACATGGTGGAGGTGGGGGAATGGGAGAGTGTGTGCATATGTGCAAGCATGATAACACACATGGGCCTGAGGTTCTGCTTTTACTGTGGTTGAGGTGGGAGCCTAGGGTTTCACAGACTCACTATTGAATCTAAAACATACAAGTGGGAATTTCAAGCACGGGAAGGGGAAAAACAGGTGGGCCAAATGGTTAGTTATAGAAATCAACCAAGATTTCTAAAACAGAGGAACCTCCATGTGGGAAAATGGCCTGGCTCTTTATCAAGTTATGTGGCTGGCGTTCTATTTATTTGAAATAGCCATCTTTGGAGTAGATGCCTCTTTGAAGTGGTTGCCTTGGCAATCAAGGTCAGGCACCTATATTAAATAAGAAAAAATATCCCAATAGTCAAGGTTTACAGTACATATTCAAAGAATAGAAATAAGAGTAAAGTTAGATAGGGGCGCCAGAGTGGCTGAGTCGATTAAGCATCTGACTGTTGATTTCAGCTCAGGTCATGATCTCACGGCCCTGGGACCAAAGCCTGTGTCAGGCTCCAGGCTCAGTGCAGATTCTGCTTGAGATTCCCTCTCCGCCCTCTGCCCCTCCCCCAGCCTGAGCACGCACTCTTTCTCTATCTCAAAAAAAAAAAAAGAGAGAGAGAGAGAGAATAAAGGTAGAAGATTATTTTCATGAAGAATTAAGTGTAACATGCAATGTAATTTTTCTGGATTTGGAAATTCATTCCTAAAAGCATTGTTGGGCTTAAAGGAAATTGGGAGTAATGCCATCAATTACATATCTGATATTAAGTTTTTAGACATAACCCAATTTATCAAGTCTTTTCTATTAAAAATGTTGGTTATTTAAAAAAATACTCTCTGTGATCAAAGTATTTCAGCTAAGATTTGCCTTTTTGTGAATAGGTTTTGAAATGTCAGAACATTATCTAGAACTATTTATTACAAATAAAGGTCTAAGAATGATTATTTGTAGAAAGGGCATTAGTAGGCTCATCAAATAATCTGATAGTAACTGAAATACTGCTAACATATTTTACTGTCATTTGTTGGGGTAGCCATTTAAAGATCGCTGTGAGTGGTTCTATGAACATTTGCACTCAGGACAACCAGATTCTGACATGGTGCACAGGCCAGTGAATGAAAATGATATCCTGCTTGTTCACAGAGGTATGTTTAATAAATTGATGTGTGTGAGGCACAAAATATTAGTTCTTGAAAGTTCTAATATATAAAATTAACCAATGCTACATATTTAGATTCTATTTTTAGGAGTAGCTGTGAAGTTGTGTCAAAAGCAAACTGTGCAAAGCTAAAGCAAGGAATTGCTGTACGGTTCCATGGAGAAGAAGGCATGGTGGGTATAAAAATAAGTGCTGTTATATAAAAGATATAAAAGATATAAAATCTTTTATATATAAAAGATTGAAACGCACACTTGAATAAAGTTTAGTACATAATTAAAAGGGAAGAAATTAGAAATGATTTTAATTTATTATTATTCAGAAAAAGATTTCCCCATAATATATTTTGTTGATACTTAATTTTGTTTTCTTAAACTCAGGGCCAAGGTGTTGTGCGTGAGTGGTTTGATATTCTGTCTAATGAGATAGTGAATCCTGATTATGCATTGTTCACCCAGTCAGCTGATGGTAAGTTGTACAGTCTACATGACTTTTTCTGTGGCTTCTCATATTTTCAAACTACTTCAGTGCACTTTATCCTTTGATTCCCATAGTAATTCTATGAGCTAGGTGTGGAGTATTCCCATATCATAGAAAAGAACATTGAAATTCAGAGTTTTTATCTACATTAACATAGTTAATGAGCAGTAGGATCATGAGTGGAACCTGATTCAGTCTAGCATTCTTTTTTAAAAAAATATTTTATTTATTTATTTGAGAGAGCGAGAACACAGATGGAGAGGGAGAGGGTGAAGCGGACTCCCTGCTCAGCAGGAGTTCGATACGGGGCTCAATCCCAGAACCCTGGTATCATCATGACCTGCCGAAGGAAGACATTTTACTGACTGAGCCACCCCAGGGGCTCCTCAGTCTAGCATTCTGTTCTCTAAATAGTTGGTTCTCAAATATTTATCTCAAGGACCAGTTCTGGCTCTAAGGAAGCTTTCATCAGTTCTTTATAAAGTAAAACTAAATTATCCAATTTAAGGATTGTCCTTAAACTACTTTTTTGAGTTAAAATTTCCTTTTCTGAAATAGTGCTAGTAGATGGACTTAAATATTAATTTGGAAAAATTCAAATTTGCTAACCCTATTTGAGTTTCCAAGTCTTAAAATTTTTTTTTGTATATATATTTTTTTGGAGTTCAATTCGCCAACATACAGTATAACACCCAGTGCTCATCCTGTCAAGTGCCCCTCCACCCCGTCAGTGTCCGTCACCCAGTCACCGCACCCCGTCCCCCCGCTCACCTCCCTTTCCACTACCCCTTGTTTGGTTCCCAGAGTTAGGAGTCTCTCATATCCTGTCACCCTCTCTGATACTTCCCACTCATTTTCTCTCCTTCCCCTTTTAATCCCTTTCACTATTTTTTATATTCTCCGAATGAATGAAACCATATAATGTTTGTCCTTCTCTGATTGCCAAATCTTAAAATTTAATTGGTCATAAAAAACAGTCTAGAAATCATGGTATTAAATCTTAACTTATAATCTACTTATGTATAGTAACTTAGTTTTCAGTCCTTTTAAAAGATTGAAACCTGGCCAATTAAAAAAAGCTCTTCTTATTTTATAATACAGATGAACTGTTTATTGAAATAGTGCTTCCGACTTGCATAATTCTAATTTGATATTGTAGGCTAAATGGAAGTGGTTACCACCTCATCTATATGAGGAATACTTGACAATTCTCTAACTTGAGAAAGACATATACAAGTGAAGAAGGGATTTCAGATTTATTTATTTATTTATTTGGGATTTCAGTTTTAAATGCTTTACACAGTTGCTTTTATTTCCTGAAAATCATTTCTTTCCTAATGTTTAAGTTGTTTTGTTGTTATATATATATATATATATATATATATATATATATATATGGAGAGAATGCATCATTAATTGTACCTTCTCGTCTCTAACCAAACCAGCAGGCAAAACTCCACTAAGAAAGATGACTTTAGGAGTGGTAAGGTGGTGGTGGGCTGCAGTGATGGTAGGGAACAGGTATTCACCTGTGTGCTGGGCTCCTCAGACACACATGGTCTGTTTGAAGGTATTGAGGAATATGTGACTATCTGTTTTAATTCTGTAACTTCTGATTATTTGTGCTGAGGTGAATTTGGTGTCTTGGTTGTTTTTATGACAAGTTTGAGGAGGTGCTGAGTTTAGTTAGGCCTGATCTCTGAAGAAAGATTTAGCATTAGAGCATTATATTTTAGGTTTATTTCATTTCTTTATAGTCCCTTATTCTGAGTCTGTTTAGTTTCATACCTGAAAAAAAAAAAAACAGATTTGGTGTGGAATCTTCAGTCAAGGTAATTTCTCTTACTATGACTGTATCAGCAGAGCATATATTGAAGCATAGAGATCATAAAGATTGTGATTTGTCCTTTTTTGTAAGCCATGTAAGTCTTCTCTTTGGGGTCACAGTATTCATAAATTAAAATCTCAGTGAAATAGTTCCTTGTTTTTAAGTTTAGTTGACATGAAGTGACTTATATTAAAATTTTCAATTAAAAATTCCAAAATGTAGGAAATGTTTGGATAGTCCTCATGTCTATAATAATTTCTTTAAAACTTGCTTTCTAATTAAATTAAGATGCTTACTGTAGCATCTCAGCCTTTGACCCTGGGTGTGAGTCCTGCTCTGCTCCTCTTGTTATCTTGGGCCAGTAAATGTAACCTTTCAGGATCTCAATTTTTTCCATTTGAAAATGGTGATAATGAATGTTTTGTAATGTGGTGAGAGACAAATCAATCAGCTGTTACATAAAAAGTGCTTAGTCTAGTGCCTGGCACATAAAAAGCAGAAATAATTATTAGAAGCTATTATTGTGTGGAAAATGATATTTTCTTCTTCACTGGGATTTTTCTCAGGTAATGAAAATAGCTGTGTCATAGTTACATTTATTTTGAACTTAAAACAGAACCCAAACTTTGTGTTCTGTTTTAAGTAGTTTTCAAGTTAAAAACCTATTACTTCTTTGCTGAGTAGTTTTAAACTATTACTGCAGGAAAAAAATAGATTTTTCCCCCCATTTGTTTCCTTCTTTATTTTTTTTCATTTCTCCTTCTCCTTATCTGTTCTTTTTAATAACATAGATTTCCAAGAAAGTACTTAGCAAAGGAATCACAGACCTAGGGGACAAGGTTGAGTTATCAAAGATCTTTGCTGATCGATTCATCGATAGCCTTAGCATTCACTATTTTTAATAGCCTTAGCATTCAAAAATATTTGTGACTATTCTTATATTACTATATTTTTGGCATTATAGTTATGTTTGTCCTTGAAGTCTTTTTTCATCTAACAAAACTTTTCTTTGACTTTTCATACCCAGTCTTTCGCATGACTGGGAATGATTCTTAAAAGGTACTTGACAGTGAATGACTAGCTTCATGTGGCACTTTTAAGTCAATAGACCATAAGCTTCTAAGTTTTTACCTTCGATCTAAGTAAACTGATCTCAGCAATGTAGTCTTGTGCCAGTAGTGAAAAGTCAAAGATCAGCAACGCATAAAGTGAATTATTGTCAAAATATATATACCAAATGACCAAACATCTCACTTTCCACTTTTCCTTTATTTTATGTTATTTTTGGATACTATTTCATTAGATTAAGCAGTTATTCTTTTGTTGGGTGTAAGTGCCTAGAAGAATAGTAAACAGCAAAAGCTCAATAAATATTTGTTGAATGTATGAGAGTTGTGTTCACAGTTAGTGATCATTACAGAAAAATACAAAAAGAGTTCTTTAAAGTTGAGGTCTTGGTATTAGATTTTCCACTGCACTAGATTGTTTTTCGACTTTTGTTTGCATCATCATAAAATATAGAACATAAAATCTATTTTAAATTCACTAGCATTAAGTATGTTGGCAGTGTTGTGTAACCATCACCACTATCTATTTCCAGACCGTTTTCCATAATAGTGGAATCATACTAGGTTTTGACAGTAATTGGTACCTCTTGCCTTTGCCAGTGGGTGGCTCAGTTGCTCAAGTGTCCAACTCTCGGTTTCGGCTCAGGTCATGATCTCAGGGTTGTGAGATAAGCCCAAGTCGGCCTCTGGGCTCACTGGAGAGTCTGCTAGAGATTTTCTCTTTCCCTTTCCCTCTGTCTTCCCCCTGCTGGCACATGCTCTCTCACCCTCTCTCTCTCAAATAAGTAAAATCTTTTAAAAAAATAAAGTTGATTACTTGTTGGGAGGAATAATCAGTTGACTTGTGGATTTAGGTGATTGGTAAAAGGCATCGAGATAATCACTTAAGAACAGTTGTAGTTTAAAATTTTTAGTTATTCTTTTTTAGTGCTCTATTCCATAAGGAGCAAAAAGTGTGAAAATCTACTGCACTGGGTGTGTATAGATGAATGAAACTATGCCTGCCCTAATTCACAGCCTAGTATTTCTATACTGCTGAGGAAAATGTGTTAGGTATGTTATCTTTTAGTATATTATTTCCAGGATCTCTCTGACACATCTTCCAACTGCTTTCAGTTAAAAGTATTCTAAAATTTTCTCTGCAAAGATTTACTCTGATAAGTATGTGTGAATTAATGATTATCTTCTGACAATTCCATTGTCATATATTCCACAAAGAACATTCTGGTGGAAGTTTATACATAATGTAACCCTGGTTTTACTGAAGTTGTATATGAACTGATTTATCAGCACTGAAAATGATCTTTCTTCTGCATCTGGATTCCTAGAAATAAATTATTTCATATTTATTTCATATTTATTTTAATAGGAACAACTTTTCAGCCTAATAGTAATTCCTATGTAAATCCTGATCACTTGAACTATTTCCGGTTTGCTGGACAGATCTTGGGATTAGCTTTGAACCACAGGCAGCTGGTCAACATTTACTTCACAAGATCGTTCTATAAGCACATTCTTGGTATGGCTCTACTGTTAATTCCATAGGCATTTATTCAAAATGTTTTTCTTAGAATCTTAAGGAAAAACTAAGTAGATAAGTGGTGGTGTTTTGGATGGGGTAATTTTTATTTCACTTGGAAGCTATCTGTATATGTAAGGCATTTGGGAGCTTGGGGGAGTAAAAAAAATCTACTTTTTTTGCTGAAAAAATTGTTGATCATTTTAGTGTATATATGTTTATGCTGAGGATGCATTTTAGTATGAATACACTTAAGAGAATTGGCACTTTTTGAAGGATCTGATAATTTTCCTGTGTAGCGATTTCAAAGAAAGATTATATTATAAAAATGTGGAAAAACCCACAAACTTAAAGTTAACAGACTTCCAAATCCAGTAATTAGCCTCCATTTTAAATCATGCTGTGAATTGGATTATATTTTGCAGTTTTATGTAATATCTGTAGAGGGCAGTATTTTACCATTAAACAAGGAAAGGCAGACACATTTAGACTCTAACTGCTCTATGTTTGCATTTTTAGGTATCCCTGTAAATTACCAAGATGTGGCATCCATTGATCCAGAATATGCCAAAAATTTGCAGTGGATTTTAGATAATGACATTAGTGATCTGGGTCTAGAACTAACCTTTTCTGTTGAAACTGATGTGTTTGGAGCAATGGAAGAGGTGCCTTTGAAACCTGGGGGTGGAAGTATTCTTGTGACACAAAATAACAAAGTGAGTATTCAAATATTTATCTTAGCCATTGTTTGTAACTTGGCCCTGATAGTTTGCTGATTACTCTAGCCTCCTGACACTAGCTAGAAAAACTTTGCTGTTAAAAGAGTTTCATAACATTTTATAATAGATAAAATATTTAAATTAACTAAACCATCAAATATCAAACTTTGAGTTGGGAAGAATCATTTTACTATTGTGTTGGATAGATGAGGCAGTTCCTGAAACAGCCTTAGAGCACAATTCAGTGGATATGTAAATTGGGCATCTCTTTTTTGAAAAAATTGACTAGAGATAGAAGTTTACATCAAGATCATCACATTCGTGATGTTTAAACATTTAATGCTTACTCAATAAGCAACCTGATTAATTTTTTAAATAAAAAATCTTTAGAAAAATACCTGCATCTTAAATTGATTGCTTGCTTTAAGATTGTTAACATATTCAATTTACAAATAAAAATTTCAAACCATGTTTTTTAGAGATTTTGTTATTTTTTAACATATATTTCTTTCATGAACTTTTTTGTTACTTTAGAGCTAGCTTTTTACTTCCTTGTCTCTATAGGTATAAAGTTATAATGTCCCATTTGGAGCTCAACTTCAAAATCTGTAAGCATATTGAAGCTTAAATGAGTTGCCAAACTTGTTAGTACGAGAAAATCTGTGTAAGCTGATCTCCACATGGGGGAGTCATTTATTCCTAAATTTTATGGAAAGGCTTTGGGAATTATACAGGGAAAATTTTCATCCGAATAGATGAAAATACCTTTGTTTAAAAAGGAGTACATTAAATAAATACAAATGTTGTAGGCAGAAGAATGTATATCAGTTCCACATTTGAAACATAATGCTCTTTTAATTAATTTTGTATCTGTCAATTTGTTTAAAAATCTTAAAAAATAATTAAACTCTGGTGTCACTTTTGAAAATGGCTGAATTCCCAGAAACTGAACATTTACATTTAAATAGTATTTTCTTCTTTCTTTAAAAGTTTTGCTTTTACTTTTCACTTTCTCTTTTTTATTCTTGACCAAAAGCTAGAATCATGGAACCATAAATTTTGAGTTAGAAGTGACAGGTTTTCTTACAACTTCAGTTCTATCTCCTAGAACTGAAGAGTAAGCTACATGAGTTTTAAGTGCTAATAACATTTTTACAGTGAATCATGAAGTTCATTCTGCCTGGGAGAGAAAGAAATAGGGGTGGGGTAAGACAGGATTTCAGGGAATAGAGGAGATGGCATAGGAGTTGAATTATAGAGGAGAAGCATTAAATGGCCAAATAGGAGTAAGGGGGGGAAAACAGAAATGTTCTAGGCTTATAGGAAGTCAAGGATGACAAAGCATGATGTGTTCAGGGAACCACAGGTATTTAAGAGTTGTCTTGGATTGCAAAATAAATGAGTGGTAAAAGATGAGGGGAGTAGTCAGGGGCCAAATTCTGAAAGACTGCATCCACAATTAAGAATTTGAAAATTATTCTGAAGACTATAGGGATGATTGCAGACATTATAGAGGCAAGTTTCATCAGTGGATTCTGTTTATTAAAAACACACAAAAACAAACTGTGCTTAGAGTGTGAAGAATGAATTGAAGTGGGGCAGTACTGGAGTCAGGGCAACTGATAGGTGGTTTTGGTATTGATGTGGGGAGCATTCATGAGGATTTCATAAGACAATGGCAGGAGGGATGGAGAAAATGAGATAATTTCTTGCCTTTTTTGACATATCTGCTTATTCCTACAAAAGAAATCTGGTTATCCTTTGGAGTTCTCAGTAGAGAAATTTTCAATGAGAACTCTTACATACTAGAGCAGTAATAAGTGGATAAACTCAAGAAAGAAGCTTTTATCACTAAAGGATATATATTCAAACAGTAAATTGAATTATGCCAACAGTAATGCCATTTAAACTGTTAATTATTAAAAAAATAACTATTCCAAACTGTTCTACAAATGTGGCCCAATTTTTTCCTCTGCTTAGAGGAGGGGAAAAAAAGAACATCTTGTTTTCACTAGTAAAAGTTAACTTATTTAAGTAAATATGGTTTATTTAGCTGTCTTTCAAAAAACAAGATTTTCAGGGGAAAAAATAGCTTAAAAATGTGTTTATTTTCAGGGCACTTGGGTGGCTCAGTTCATTAAGTGTCTGCCTTCGGCTTAGGTCATGATCTCAGGGCCCTGGAATCGAGCCTCACATCAGGCTTTCTGCTCAGCTGAGAGCCTGCTTCTCCTCCTCCCTCTGCCTGCTGCTCCCCCTGCTTGTGTGCTCTCTCTCTGTCAAATAAATAAATAAAATGTAAAAAAAAAAAAAAAAAGGTTTTTATTTTCAACATCACTGCCATTCCTCAGAAGAAGACATAATTTAGGTTCAAAGTCTGAAAAGAAGTTAAAATTTTAAGGAATATTTCTGAGAATTGATCATTATTTATTCCACATATGCAGAAGACTAGGAGATTATTAAAACAAAATGTTTCTATAAATATGGACATATAATTTTACTGGAACATAATGTCCACAAGTTCAGTCTTCCTAATCTCAGTGTTACGTTTTTCGCTGAACAGTTTCTTTTTTGCTTATCTATTTTATATCAGTTACCAGAGTCAGAGTTAAGCCAGAAAAAAGTTGCTAAGGCTCTTTTTTGTTGCTGTTGTTTCCATGCTGAGGCTTTCCAATTGAAAGCTTTCTATGTATTAATATACTTCACTAGTAAAAGTATTAAGATTCTTTAATATGATTAATTCTTCAATTTAATCCTTTGGCATCTGGTATTATTTTATGCCTTCAAAGAATAGACCATATATCTCAGGTGGGAGCAAATATGACTCCTAGGATATGCCATCTGTTAGGGATAAAAAAAGATCCCCTGTCCCCAAGTTATATCAATCTCTTATAATAACTTGAAAGAAAATGATAGTTTAGGTTTAATTGTGCAACTCTATGTGAACTGATTGTTTCCTTTGTGAACTGATTGTCATCTGTTTTCCTTATTGAAGCATGTAAGATATTTGATGTAGTTATGCAGGAGCATAAAGTGTGGGGAGGCAAGTCACTTGGATTCATAGGTAGTGGGAATGTAGCCAGCATATTTCTGCACAGTATGAATTGTCATACTGTTAGTGTGTAATAATAGTGGATGTTCATAGTAATATTGTATCATCAAGAAAGTGTTAATTGATGTTCCATTTGAGGATGTGTAATGTTTAAGGAAGCAGGAAAACATTTTAGCTCAGTTGGATTTTTTAGCTCAGTTGGATTTGTATTTTCTTCTGTTAAACACAGTTATCTTTCAGCTTTATGGAAAACTTTATTTTACTAAATATCTCAGTAGGATTTGTGATGGTTAGGATTTAATTATTTTTCTGAGAAATAATTTAGACCAAGATTCATCCACATTTAAATTAACTTAACATGGAAACTAGTATTTGAAGGTGCTCATTTCCACAAATTGATATGCAATAACTATGAGTCAAAGTTACAGAAATAAATGTTGAAAATATTTAGAATATTAGAATAATATTTTATATTAGAATAGAAGGAAACATGTAAGGAATGATTAGTATACTCGTGGAAATTAATTTTTGAAAAAAGAATGTGTGGGATCCCTGGGTGGCGCAGCGGTTTGGCGCCTGCCTTTGGCCCAGGGCGCGATCCTGGAGACCCGCGATCGAATCCCACATCGGGCTCCCGGTGCATGGAGCCTGCTTCTCCCTCTGCCTGTGTCTCTGCCTCTCTCTCTCTCTCTCTCTCTCTCTCTCTCTCTCTCTGTGACTATCATAAGTAAATAAAAAAAAAATTAAAAAAAAAAAGAAAAAAGAATGTGTGAGGAAATAATAGGAATTAATTTATTGAAAACAGAATGTGTACTATTCTGATAAATATGAAATGCGGTGGCAAATTAAAATAGGTAAAGTATCTTGAGCAATTCACAAATCTTTTCTTTTTGAGAGAGAAAGTGCTTGTGCACATGTGTGGGGTTAGGGGAGAGCAGAGGCAGGAGAGAGAATCTTAAGCAGCCTTTATGCCCAATATGGAGCCAGGCGTGGAGCTCCATCTCACACCCTGATATCATGACCTGAGCCAAAGTCAAGAGTCAGACACTTAATTGACTGAGCCACACAGGCACCCCACAAATCTTTTACTTTTATGCTTCATGATTTAAGGTCTTAAACAATAATTATTGAATAGCACCGTAAGATTCTAAGAACAAAACCTTCTGGAAAAAAGCTACTCTTGTTAAGGGAAAAGGGGGTCTCACTAGCGCCTTAAACATTAATGAATGAATGGAGCAGAAAAATTGTAGTAGTGTAGTCAGTTTAGTTAGAGCAGACATAAACTAAAAGGTAATGATGTGCTAATGTTGAAATCACTGCTGGTTATCATTTGGAACAGTGCTATATATATTATTTCCTGGATGGGACCTGAAAAATCTAGTTTATGTTTCTGTTTGATTGGCACACAATTTTGTCTCCTTCTCTCTAGTAATGACCTAAATGTAGTAACTGATTAATTCCTGTGCAGTAAAGAAAAGCTTTTGGATGGTAGGGCATGGGATTTGGGGGTGGGAGTAGACTGAATAGCAGAGATGACAGCTTTTCCTGTGCTAGATTGCACCAGGGGCCACATGGGGCTTGGGGAGAACTGTGGGGAATCTACCATGACACTTCTGTAGCTTTGACATGTATGGGGGAATCCATAGCCAGCGGTTATATATAATTTGCTAGCTCAGTGGTTGTGGTCTTCCTTTCCCCCCTGGAGTATGTTTGGGGAGTGGGGTTGGACAGAGCATCAGATTAGTGCCAAATAAATAAAAGAAGGAACCTAAAACAGGCTTTCTTTACTCTCTTTAGAACATTCATACCTGGGAGGTGAGAACTATGTATGGTATATTGCTTTTAAGTCACAAAGTTTCACTTAGATATAATTATAAAGTTATAACAATTGATAGAATTGACTGATAGATATGGTAATTGATCCTTGTCTGAGCCAAAATACATTCTTTATTTCCAGTTAAATTTTAAGTGACACTGTTTTCAGGAATGCTGTATTTTTTGTTTGTTTGTTTGTTTGTTTGTTTTTGGGGGGATGTATTTTAAAATGAAATGTGTAAAAATAATTTACCTTAATTCAGAATCAAATCGACTATGGTTAAACCACCCATGTTATCAAGTTCTGAGTATATATTACATGCACTTGTTGAATGTGTGCATTCCCTCAGATATTTGTTGAACATTTACAAAGTGACAGCCACTTTTTTAGGAGCTGGGAATATATACTGGTAAACAAAACAGAGCCCCTGCCTGCAGAAAGATTATATTCTAATGAGATATTTCAGTCAGAGGCACCAGGAAGTATAGACACTGAGGTCTGAACAAGCTTATGTTTGGGGAGTAGAGAGAATGAACCAGGGGGAGAATGGAAAGAAATGAGATAAGAGAGCAAAGCAGAGGTTGGATCATTTAGGGCGTTAGAGACTAGGAATGTGATTTGAATTTTACTTAAGTCACTATAGGGTTTTTGTTTGTTTTAGGGAGGGAGAGAGGTGACTGAACCGACTGAGCCACCCAGGTGCCCCTCGTAGTGTTTTGAGGAGTAATGTGATCTGAATTATATATAAAACATACTTATATATTTTTAAAAATCACTTGGTGTTATGGAAGAAGCTGTATAGAGGGAAAAATGGAAACAGAGATACCACATGTTACAGTAATCCAGGTGAAGATGATGGCTTGGACCAAGGTGCTAGAAGTGGAGGTGGTGAGATTGAGAATGTTTTTTGGAGGTAGTTCTGATAGCACTCACTGATACAGCATATGAGAGAAATCATGGGTGATTGATTCCTAGGATTTTGGCCTAAGTAGTGTAGCTATTGGTAGATTATGGGTTTACTGTGGTTTATGAATAATGGTACCAAATTAATTCCAAACCTTCACCTCTTCAATGAGAAATGATTGTATCAACAGTATCTTTATGTATGTGAAATTGAAAAAAAATCCTCACTTTTTTTTTTCTTAATAGGCGGAGTATGTCCAGCTTGTTACTGAACTTCGAATGACTAGAGCCATTCAACCTCAGATCAATGCTTTTTTACAGGGCTTTCATATGTTCATTCCGCCTTCCCTCATACAACTTTTTGATGAATATGAATTGGTAAGGAAAAACATCAGTTCTTTGTGGTTGCAAAACAACACAAGACTCCAGTTGCTATAATTTAGAAATAATTTTGGAGTACTACGATGAATGAAATCATATATAATAAGACATTATAGTCTAATGTTTATGTTTAGAGACTTGTTACAAGATTTGTGAATGTGGTTCTCTTAAGTTTAATAACCAGAGTAACAATTCCTTAGTGTGAAGTGGGGTGAGGTGGTGATAAACAAAGATGAAACACATATAAAAGTATTTTACATGGGAGATATTGAAGGCCAGTCTTCTCAAAAGCAATATTCATATTACAGTTCACCCTTGAACAGCACATGTTTGAACTGTGTGGATTCAAACTTAAACGTGGATGTTTTACAGTATAATGCTATAGCTTCTTTTCTTCCTTTTGATTTTCTTTACTTTTTAAAGATTTTATTTATTTCCTTGAGAGAGAGAGAAAGAGAATGCATGAGTTGGGAAGGAGCAGAGTGGGAGGGAGAAGGAGGAGGGGAAAGAATCTTACAGACTCGGCACCGAACATGTGTAAGGTTCCATCTCACAATCTTGAGATCATGACCTAAGCCAAATGAAGAGTCGGACACTCAACAGACTAAGGCTCCCAGATGTCCCTTCCTTTTGATTTTCTTAATACTATTTTCTTTTTCTAGTTTCCTTATTCTAAGAATATGAAATGTAATACAAATAACAAAATATATATTTATTGTTTATGTTATCAGTAAGGCCTCTGGTCAACAGTAGGATATTAACAGTTAAGTTTTAGGGGACTTCAGATGTTACACATGGATTTTGACTTCATGGGGTCAGAGTTCAAGCAAAAATGAACTGTACGTAGGAATTTTTTATTAGATCATATGAGGTATAAGATAATGATAATAACTTCTTATCATTCTGAATAGAAGAATTAGTTTTTATTGTATTTAATTTCTCTAGCTTCTTATTTTACCATATATATCATTTAATCATTTTCCATTTTAAATCTATATGGAGTCCTCTCTTTGCCAGCCTCCAGTTCCTAATAAATGTTTGTTTTGCTCTTTTAATTTGCTTGCTTTTTACTGTGACCTAACAGGATTTCTAATTTTATATGATTTATGTTTGTATTTTCCCTCATATCCTTTTTCTCTCATTATTGATAATAAATTATTTTCAAACTCTTTGAGTTGTCTAACTCCTTACTAAAATGTAGTATTTTAAATAGAATATAGCTATTTTTTATTTAAAAATTATAATTTGGAATAGTAAATTTTAGAGCAATGGAAAAGTATCCTTTGTTTTTTATTATTCCCATAAAGTAGTTTTACCCTATGCCTTTCACTTTACTGTATGAATAAGTACATTGATTTATACCTTTTAATTTTACATATGTGCCAGTATTTTTAGTTTATCACTCATAGTATATCTTGGTATAGTAGTGAATGGAATTTACTAGTTAATTTTGAAGCCCATTGTGACTTAGTTTCATTAAATGTCAGTTCTGAGGGGGTTTTTTTGTTTGCATTTTTAGGTTTAAGATTAATGGTTTTGTTTAGTATATAGACTGGTCTAGTTTTTGCGTAGTGATAAGTTACTTTTAGTATTTAGAAATGGAGGAATATTTAGGAACTATTATTAAACATGACTGAAATGACTTTCTGTACTGTACTTACTAAATTCGCCTTGTAAAGTTCAGAACAGAATTTTACATTATTTTCTGGACCTGTGTATAAAACAAATAGCAACAATGTAAATAATTGACGAAAACTTTGCCTCCTAATTTACTGATGCTGCTAAGTTTTACGAAATTTATTATTGATTTACAGTGTATGTAGAGAAAAGTATACGCATCAGAAAAGTTTGATGAATTTTTACAAACTGAATGTACCCATAAAATCACCCAGATCAAGAAACAAAAATCCTAGCACCCCAGATGTCCAATCCTGTCCTCTTCATCACTATCCCTCTTCTTGGGGAACCACTCTTCTGACCTTTATTTTCCATTAACATTATTATTTTTAAAATTTATTTAAATTCAATTAATTAACATATGGTGTATTGTTAGTTTCAGAGGTAGAGTTCAGTGATTCATCAGTCTTATATTTGTTTTTTTAAGATTTTGTTTATATTTTAGAGAGAGCATGAGTAGGGAGAGGGGTGGAGGCAGAGGGAGAGAAAGAATCTCCAGCTGACTCCCTGCTGAGCACCAAGCCCAATGCGGGGCTCCATCTCAGGACCCTGAGATCATGACCGATCCGAGTCTAATGCTTAACCAACTGAGCCACCTCGGTGCACCATTCTGACTTCTAAAAATATCATAGATTAGGTTTCTGGTTTTTTAACTTAATGTAAATGGAATAATAACCTAGAACATATCTGACTTCTTTAGTTCAACCTTTTGTGAAAACTGTGCGTATTGTTGCATGAAGGCGTAATTTGTTCATTTTTATTGCATTCTAGTATTTCATTGTGTCGTGTGTGTGTGTGTGTGTGTGTGTATGGAGAAGTCTATTCTACTCTTTTTTTTTTATAAAACTGGTTATTTATTTGTTTGCTTGTTTATTTATTTATTTATTTATTTATTTATTTATTTATTTATTTATTTATGATAGTCACACGGAGAGAGAGAGAGGCAGAGACATAGGCATAGGGAGAAGCAGGCTCCATGCACTGGGAGCCCGATGTGGGATTCGATCCCAGGTCTCCAGGATCGCGCCCTGGGCCAAAGGCAGGTGCCAAACCGCTGCGCCACCCAGGGATCCCCTATTCTACTCTTGATTGAACATTTGGCGGGTATTTTTCAGCTTTGGGTTATTTGAAATACTGCTATTTCAAACATTCTGGTACATGCCTTTAGGAGGATATATGTATACATTCTTGAAGTGGAATTACTGGGACATAAGGTGTACATTTATTCTATTATAGTAGATATTTGCAAATAGCTCAAGTGGTGTGTCAGTTTACATTCCCACCAATAAGTATAAGAGTTCTGGGTATTCTATATCTTCAGTAACATTTGATACTTTGTCTTTTTCACTTTTACCATTTTTGTGTTTCATGTCCCAGTGACCAATGAGTTTGAGTGCATTTATGTGTTCGTTGGCCACCGGTATGCTGTTTTTTTTTAAAGTGTTTGCTCAAGTAGTTTGTACATTCTTCTGTGGTTTTCTGGTTTTTTCTTACTGATTTATGATTCTTTATAGGAGTCTTTGTTATCTATATTGTGAATATCTTGTACTCTGGTGTCTTTTAGTAAATAGAAGTTTTTAGTTTTAACACAGTTCAACATTTATCGCTTGCTCTTTCTTTTTTTTTTAATGGATGGAGCTTTTTTTGTTCTTTTTTTATGTTTAAGAACCTGTTTCTTATTCCAAGGTCATGAAGTTGTTTTCCTGTATTTTCTTCCAAAAGCTTTGTTCCTTTATCTTTCATATGTAGGTCTGCTATTGTTAAGTTTTCAATTGTGATTTTGTATTAGAAGTAAAGTCAGGATTCCTCATCTGTCTTAGACTCTGGCTTTACTATGTTGAGCTGATTTCAGATGGAGGGATTATTTGGGAAGAGCAGTGTTGTTTGTCAGCATGATCCTGATTTATGCAGTGATGAAAATTATTATTAAAAACATAGTATTTGGGCAGCCCGGATGGTTCAGTGGTTAGTGCCTGCCTTCGGCCTGGGGTGCGATCCTGGAGTCCCAGGATCGAGTCCCACATTGAGCTCCCTGCATGGAGCCTGCTTCTCCCTCTGCCTGTGTCTCTGCCTCTCTCTCTCTCTGTATCTCTCATGAATAAATAAAATATTTTAAAAAATAAAATTAATAAAAATAAATAAATAAAAACGTAGTATTTGCCAGGCACTTCATATGTATTAACTTTTAAAATTTCCACAACAGACCTCTGACATAAGTATTATTATTCCCATTTTATAATGAGGAAAACCAATCCAAAGAAGCTACAGAACTTCCTTCTATTCATACAGTATGTGTTAGCGCCACACTGGGAACCCATGGTCTGTGACCTAGAGTCCACTCTGTCTTCATCAATATGTCAAACTGTCTTTCAGAAGCATGAGTTATAAATGGGACCTGGATGACTTTATGTCTTTCCTAGGAAAAGGCTATGCTAGACTGGGATAGGAAACCTTTAAAAAAGTTGGCATTGACATCTACAGTAAATGTGTGGTACAAGAATATTAACACATTAAGCCATATGAATTCTAGATAAGCTAATGGCTATGAACATTTGCATGACTCCATCTCTGGCCATTCATATAGGGTATATATGTTATACCCATTTCCAGTAGACAAATTCATTTATTTTGTCATATTTTTTAAAACTACATTATTGATTAGGCTTGAAATCTTCTTGCTGTATGTTCTTTTTATTGTGGAATTTCCATTTCATCTACTTGTTTTTAATCACTGTGATAACTTTTTTTGCCCAGGTGTTAAGTGGGATAATAAAGATCTTTCATCCTCTTCACAAAAGTCATAATAATATGTTAATTGAATGCTTCAACTTTCTTGAGAGAATATAGTCTCAGTCATTTTGATTCATAATTATTAATAATGAAAGCATACTTAATATTATTAAAAGCTTATCTTCAGTCTAGAAGGGAAGAGGACTAAACTCTCATGGCTTATAAGAAATATCCCTGCTCCCTTTTGGCAGATCTGTATCAGGGTCTTGCCAGGGAACAGAATTTCCCCAGATGGTTCAAATAGAAACTTAACAAAGGGGCTATTACAGAAGTGTGGCAGTGTTAAGAATCACAAGAGTATGGGGAGACATCCAGAGACTAGCAACAGTGGAAAGCTTTATCATCCCTAGAATTGAAGAGACAGGTGGAGAAATTACATTAGTCCCACCTTATCAAGAGGGAATCGGTTCCCACACCCCCAGTGGATGCCTGGAACCACGGATAGTACCGAATCTTGTATATACTATGTTTTTTCTTAAATACACATACTTAGGGTAAAGTTTAATTTATAAATTAGACATAGTAAGAGATTAACAACTAATAGTAATATAATAACTAATAATATTTATAACAACAATAATATAACAGTATACTATACTAAAAGTTACATGAATGTGGTCTCTCTCAAAATGTCTTGTTATGTGGTACTTACCTTAGTTGTTGTGATGATGCCAGATAAAATGTCTATGTGATGAGATGAAGTGAGGTGAATGATGTAGGCATCATGACTTAGCATTAGGCTACTATTGACTTTCTGACAGTGTGTTAGAAGGAGGATCACCTGCTTCTGGACCACAGTTGACTGTGGTAACTGAGACCACAGAAAACGAAATTGTGGATAAAAGTAGGGGCCTTCCTATTGTATTGCCAGGACCCTCTGAGAGCCTGACGCACCAATGAGGGGCATCCTGGTAGTAGCCGTGGTTGAGGATACACGGTTACTACAAAGATGTGCTGAGGCAAGGTGGAAATAAAAAATATCCTCACCTCCATAGGCATGCCTGTTTCCCAGTGATGGAGCCCAGCCTAAAGCTGATAGGCAAGAAGAGCCAGTCAGTCTATAGGAATTGGTCTCCTGGGGTACAGAAAAGTGCAAAGAATGGTGGAGAATGTATTTGGATTGCTAAAATGAAGACTAATCAGAATATCCATCTAGGAAAAGTATTTTATAATACTGTGGAAACAAGGAACAGAACACACCCTAGACCAGCCATTCTCATACTTTTTGGTTTTAGGATACCCTTACAACAAAGTTTTTATCTATGTGGGTTATATTACCTGATATTTACTGTATTTGAAACTTAAAAAAACTGTTAAACATTTTCTTAACATAAAAATAGCAAACCATTATATATTTACATAAGTAACATTTAAAAATTGAAAATTGCCGTTTCTAGAATAAAGGTAAAAATAGTGGGAAGAGTGACATTGTTTTACATTTCTGTAGGTTTATTTAATATCTGGTTAATAGAAGGCAACTAGGTTCTCATATCTGCTGTTGCGTGTAATCACTTAAAATATGTTGTTTGCTTGAACTTTATGAAGAAAATCCAGACTCAGATATGTTGGAAAAGGGAGAACCTTGTAGACTCTTAATAGATCTTAGAAACCCCCAAGAGTTGTCACATCTCACTTCTTATTAGGTTTCATTAATTTTCCTCAGAACACACTTCTATACTAGTCAGGTGTATGTTATGAGTAGTTGTTGTAGTAGTTAAACACATTGTATCTACGTCTGTGACAACAAACTTAGCTGTTCTGGCTTGTTAGTACTTAGTTGAGTGTAGTGTATATTCATTCTCTTATTTGACCATGTAAACACATCCAACTGTGAGGTATGGGCTCATTGAGACATCTGGACAAGCTCCTTCCATGTTCTCTTTCCTCTTGGAAAACATATGGTAAATATGTTTTGACATTCTTAATTTTGTTTTTATTTATTTCATTAATATTTTCATGTGAAGAAAGGTGACAACCAAAAGTCATTAGGAAAATGCATTTTTTTTTCTTACACTGCGGAATGTTGGCTTTAAAGGATCCAAATCATTCCAAAATAGATTTCTTCAAGGCCCTGAATATGTTCTTTTTTTTTTCTTTGAATCACTTTTTATTACATTACCTGTTTTTATTATATTGCTCCTTTTTCCTAGTGATTAGAGTTTTTCAATTATCTTTTCCTTTGCTTAAGCCAGGACTTATTCAGGTCTTTGTTGTCACTTTTATGTTGAGCCTATGGTCTCTTTAGAATTTAACAAATTCATAAAATTATTGCAAATGTAAACTTGTTGCATATGTTTGTGTATTTGTCTCATACGTTTTAATGAAATTTTATCAATGTGAAGGCATTGCCACATCTCAGCAATATTTGAGATTATCATTATGAAGAGTTCTCTCCCATGGAGTACTTGTTATTGATGACATGCAGAAACTATCACAAAAATAAATCAGTTTTACATGGGATTAGTTTCTAATTAAGGCAAATTTACTATTTAAATGTAATTTTTTTTTTTTTCCCAATGAAGACTAATGAAATACTTTACCTCTTCCCCAAAGGAGCTACTGCTTTCTGGCATGCCAGAAATTGATGTGAGCGATTGGATAAGAAATACAGAATACACAAGTGGCTATGAAAGAGAAGATCCAGTTATTCAGGTAAAATCTCTCTAGAGTTTAGAATGAAGTTAAGTTTGCTACTTAATTTTATAAGCTTTTCAGCACTATTGGATGAAAACCTACATTAATTAACAAAGTAAAATTTTTCCCTAAACTTTTCTCCTGGGAATATTGCATCTGAAAACTTTGTATGAAAGCATTTTTGATAAATGAGTTTCATAGAATAAAATATGCTTTATGAATATTACATATTCTCGGGTATTAACAAGTCTACAATTGCACTGAAATATGAGTTAAGTTTTTTTTTTGTTGTTGTTGTTGTTAGTGGTTCTGGGAAGTTGTGGAAGGCATTACTCCAGAGGAGAGAGTTCTTCTCTTGCAGTTTGTTACTGGCAGGTAAGAAGTACTTTTATGCTAATGTGGAGGGAGATTAATGTGTTGCAGTTTTAATGGTTTAAATAGCCAAAATGCATTATTACTTTGAATTGTCAGTTTCTACCTCCTTTTCCATTTTTTTAGGTTATTAAGGATTTATTTAGCCATTAAAGGTAAACATATGGGGATCCCTGGGTGGTGCAGCGGTTTGGCGCCTGCCTTTGGCCCAGGGCGTGATCCTGGAGACCCGGGATCGACCACATCGGGTTCTTGGTGCATGGAGCCTGCTTCTCCCTCTGCCTGTGTCTCTGCCTCTCTCTCTCTCTCTGTGACTATCATAAATAAAAAATAAAAAAATAAAAAAAAATTAAATAAAATCTTTAAAAAAAAAAGATAAACATATGGTAGTGCTCAATAAATATTTAATGTATAAAAAATAAACTAATAAACCAATCAGGACAATCAGCAATACAGTACAATCAGCAATACAAAATACAATATATATATTGTATTTTGTAATTTGATAATCTTTTCATTGTGTAGGTAAGTCAGTGATAGTGCCAAATTTTTAATATTTTAAGGTTGCTGGACAACACACACATACACACACACGACATATATAATATCCATACTCAGCAGTTTTTCCTCCAATTCTTACCATTTTTTTTAAAGACTATTTATTTATTTGAGAGAGAAGCATGGGTGGGGGGAAGGTTGGAGGGAGAGGAAAAGAATCCCAAACAGATTCTCTGCTGAGTGAGGAGGCTTGATCCCATAACCCTGAGATCATGACCTGAGTTAAAACCAAGAGTCAGAAGATTAACTGACTGAGCCACCCAGGCGTTTCTCTTGCCAGATTTTAAAGTCTCAAGATGCATGGCCTAAAAAATAATTTGTGATACCACATGTCTTTGAAAAGTCTACCTTTGGGGCAGCCTGGGTGGCTCAGCGGTTGAGTACCGACTGCTGGATACCCGGGATCGAGTCCCATGTCGAGCTCCCTGCATGGAGCTTGCTTCTCCCTCTGCCTGTGTCTCTGCCTCTCTCTCTCTCTCTCTCTCTCTCTCTCTCTCTCTCTCTCTCTGTCTCTCATGAATAAATAAATCTTTTTTGGAAGTCTACTTTTAGGCTGATTAAAGCTTTAGAAAACTAGATGATTTTTAACCTTTAACTTTCTGAAAGATTTTTTTAAAAATCTAATTTTCATTCTTAGTATCTTACAGTTTCATCTTTGCTGTTCTCTTTATGGGACTCATAGTTCCTTTGTTACACTGTAAATGTACCTCATTATTCTAGTAAAGTTGGAACATACATGAAATTAGAACAAATAAGGAATACCACTCCCTGCTAGCAAAACTACTATAAGTAATTTGATGTATTCACTTCTGTATTTTTTCTGTTTATTTTAAAAACATAATTGTGAGCATGTCTCTATAAAAAATATATAAAATATATATGTAATTTAAAGTCCACTATTTCCTTATTTTAATAGTAGCCACATAACCATTATAGAAAATTTGGAAGATGAAGAATATAGATAAAATAAAATGAAAATCCATTAAGTAATTAGATATAATACTTTAACATTTTGCTTTATTTTCTAAGTCCATTAACTATGGAGTTAGAAAAATAGTTGAAGTCACACTGTACTACATTATACATCTAATTTTTTTTACTTAAATTCAATTTGCCAACATACAGTATAACACCTAGTGCTCATTCCATCAACTGCCCTCCTCAGTGCGTATTACCCAGCTCCTCATCCCCCCCCCACCTCCCCTTCACTCTTAAATCTCATTTTGAACAATAAATAAAACATGAATAATCATTCAGGGTACCTGACTGACTCAGGAAAGCTTGAGACTCTGTATCTTAGGGTTGTAATTGGGGCACCCCTCTGGGTGTAGAGATTACTTAAAAATAAAATCTTAAAAAAAGAAAGAATATGAATATTCACAGATCATAGAGTAAAGATAAAAAGAAAACCTTGTTTTAGTCTTGTGTTTTGGTTTCTTTGGCTTCTTAATGCCAAGAAATACCCAGAGATTTGAATAATTTAATGAAAAGACTTAAAAATTATATATTCCATGTAGGAGGGCTAGACAATTTCTTTTTTTATTTTTAAAGATTTACTTACTTATTTGAGAGAGAGAGCAAGAGTGCAAGAGTAGGGGGAGGGAGAGGCAGACTCCCTGTTGAGCAATGAGCCTGGTGCCATATGGGGCTCAACCCCAGGATGCTGGGATCATGACCTGAGCCGAAGGCAGATGCATAACCCACTGAGCAACCTAGACGCCCCAGGGTTAGACAATTTATTTTCTTTTTTTTTTTTAAGATTTTATTTATTTATTCATAGAGACAGAGAGAGAGGCAGAGATACAGGCAGAGGGAGAAGCAGGCATCATACAGAGAGCCTGATGTGGGACTCGATCCAGGGTCTCCAGAATCACGCCCTGGGCTGCAGGCGGCGCTAAACCGCTGAGCCACCCGGGGCTGCCCGGGTTAGACAATTTCAATTAAAAAAAAAAAAAATCACTTCTAATATCAGTGTCTCAGAATTTTCCCGACATACCTAAACTTTTACTTTTCTTTTTTTTTTTATTAAAAGATTTTATTTATTTATTCATGAGAGAGAAAGGGAGGCAGAGACACAGGCAGAGGGAGAAGCAGGCTCCCTGTAGGGAGCCTGATGTGGGACTCCATCCCAGGTCTCCAGGATCACACCCTGAGTCGAAGGCAGCACTAAACCACTGAACCACCCAGGCTGCCCTACTTTTTTTTTTTTTTTTAAGTTTTATTTAAGTAATATCTACACCCTACTTGGGGTTCTATCTAACTGACAACTGCACATTAAGAGTTGCATGTTCGGGGATCCCTGGGTGGCGCAGCGGTTTGGCGCCGACAGAGTAAAAGAAATCAGACCCCTGACTCCCTGTTGATATGAATACTGAGATCTTTCTAAAAGGGTAAATGAACAATATATATCAGGTTATAAAAATTTACATACTTTTGTATCCAAAAATTTCCCTTCTAAGAATTTTTTCTATATAAATAATCAAACTGGCCCACAAGTGTATAAGTACAAGAATTCCTTATTTGTTCAGCATTATTTATAAACAGGAAAATGTAGCAAAGAAGGACAGTACTAATTAAGAGAGGTCCATAAACTGAAGAATAAGCAGCCATGAAAAAGATTAGATCTATAAATGGAACAATTTCTAATAATATACTGCTAAATTAAAAGCTATAAAAGAGGAATGGTGTTTTTAAAAACTAAAATCTATGGGGCACTCGGCTGGCTAAGTTGGAAGAGCATGCAACTCTTTTTTTTTAATTTCAATTACTAGATGTTATCATTTCTATTTTCATCTAATTTTTATTTATATAATTTTTATGTAAATTGCTGGTCTTAATTTGAATGCATTATTCTATTGTAATTCATTTATTTATTTATGAAACATCTGTTTATTTGGGGGTGGGTTGTGGAGAGGGAGAAGAAGGAGGAGAGAATCCTAAGCAGACTCCCAGTTTGATCTCACAATCCCGAGGTCATGACATGAGCTGAAATCAAGAGTCAGATACTTAACTGACTAAGTCACCAAGGCTCCCCTATTGTCATTTTTAAAAAACTCAATTCTAAATGTTGTTTATGTGGGATATTAATTCTATAGATACTTTTCCTAGTTTATCATTTGCCTTTTAAGTTCATTAAGTTAAATATACAGATTTCCATGTAATTTAAAGTATACATGTATAAAATTGAAATGATTAATTTTGTAAGTTGATATCAGTACTTTGTGGTTTTTAGAAATCCTTCCCCATTCTCTCAAGGTTTTATAAATATATATATATATTTGTATACAATATATACAAATATATTGTATACAAATATATATTTGCATTTTTTTGTAGTTTCTTATAATTCCTATTTTTACATTCCAATTTTTAAGCCATCTGGATTTTATTTTGGTTTATGTATTGAGGTATAGAGCTCTTACTATTTTTCTAAATGATAATATCTAAACACCATTCAATGGATTATTATATCCACCCCACCCCTCACCACCACCATGATTTGGTTGGTATAAGTCTTTAAATTGCAGATAACAATTACAATTACTCAAGTTCTCTGGTACTAAAAATGTCTGTTAAGTTGCTGCTCTTGTAGAATGAAAAACTCTTATATTAGTAATACAGAGTGCGTCTCCCAAGTCAATCGTATAGTCCTTGTTAGCAGTACTGAAAAGAATTGCACTGTTTATTATTTAACTGGTCATGAAGTATAGCTTGTGAATCCATTTAAACTGAGGTGAATGATGTGAGTAAAAATAGAAGCCAAGGAAGCTGAGGGGAACAACACAGAGCTAAGCTTCAACACCATGCTGAAGAAGCCACCATTCAATACAGTCTACAGAGTCCTTGTTTTGAATTCAGACTAAGTTTTAAGCTTTTTAAAATCTTAACCTTCATTTAGTATAGGCATAGAGTTTGCCATTCTAAACTTAGTATGTATTTTTTTATTCAGCCCTTTCTGGAAAATTCTGATTATCTATTTGTTTATATATAGATGTTAAAATATCTTTTTCTATTATCCATAGTTTAGTGCAAACTTACTAAACAAATGTGTTCCAATTATTAGATCCAAGAGAATCAGTGCAAAAAAAAGTAATTTTTAAGTTTTTTTTAAGTATTTTTATGGTGTGACATTATTTTGTTGGTCTATCAGACTCTGTTAATTAAATGATTTACTCTATTTTGTCCTTAACCCTTAAGAATAATGAAAATCAGACTTGATTTGCGTATAAAATTTCTATTTTATATGCATGTCGTTTATAGTAACTGTAATTTTACATTATATAATCCAAGTGTCATAATATTCAACCAAAGACCATTTCATTTATTTTTCTCACACATGCTAAAGCTTGATGAGCCGTCTTAGCGTAAGATTCACTGCTTATTCAGGTATTGGAGCATGGTCATATTTGTAGTTTAGAAGAAGAGTAGTTGGGCAGCCTGGGTGGCTCAGCGGTTTAGCGCCGCCTTGGGCCCAGGGCCTGATCCTGGAGACCCAGGATCGAGTCCCACATCGGGCTCCCTGCATGGAGCCTGCTTCTCCCTCTGCCTGTGTCTCTGCCTCCCTCTCTCTCTGTGTCTCTCATGAGTAAATAAATAAAATCTTTAAAAAAAATTTTTAGAAGAAGAGTAAAGTTTCAGGGATTGCTAGTGAATATCAGTTTACAGTATAATTTTAGTTTAGATCTTAAAATTGGGAAACCTTCTGATTTTTAAGCGTATTTTTTTAAAAATTTATTTATGATGGTCACACAGAGAGAGAGAGAGAGAGAGGCAGAGACATAGGCAGAGGGAGAAGCAGGCTCCATGCACCGGGAGCCTGACGTGGGATTCGATCCCGGGTCTCCAGGATCGCGCCCTGGGCCAAAGGCAGGCGCCAAACCGCTGCGCCACCCAGGGATCCCTTAAGCGTATTTTTTAAAATTTAGTACACAAAAAACCTTAGATCTGTCATTCTGATATTGAAATACTGTGTATTAATTTGTGTAAGAAACAGTGTCAAGTCTCATTTTCTCACCTTATCGTGATAAAATAGTGTACTTACTTTTAAATTCTACCCTTGCAGGAAATTGAGAACAGCTTGGCTTTTTATCCCTTTTCATTTTTGGTTGCCTTTATTAAAGTTTTAGGCAAAGGTTAATATGCATGGACTAGTGTTGAATTTTATTTCAGTTTACCGACATGTCCAGGTCTTCTTTAGCTATTCTTTTGCCCTGTGTAGGAATTGCTCATGCATGAATGTTTATTAACAAGACTTTTTTTAATAGTCACTTGGATTTGCAAGGTAATCTCAGGCATTTCATCAGTAAAGCATTTAATAGCAACCAAATGACTTCCCAGTGATAAAAGAAAACTGCTGTTTTTAGAGATTTATTTATATTGGATTGTTATTATTCCTCCTGTGAACGTATACATACCATTTATGAGTTTAAACAGAAAATCTGGGGATCCCTGGGTGGCTCAGTGGCTTAGTGCCTGCCTTCGGCCCAGGGCGTGATCCTGGGGTCCCGGGATCAACTCCTGCATCAGGCTCCCCACATGGAGCCTGCTTCTCCCTCTGCCTGTGTCTCTGCCTCTCTCTCTCTCTGTCTCTCTCATGAGTAAATAAAATCTTTTAAAAAATAAACAAAATCATGGTGCATATTTCCACAGTTTTTATGTATATGTGGCAGAAAATAAATACCATTTTTAAGTACAGTTCTGTGATACTAAGTACATGCACATTGTTGTGCAACTATCCAACTCCCAAACGTTTTTATCTTCTTCTGCTGAAACTGTCAACCAACTAAACATTAACTCTTCATACCCCTTCCCTCCAGTTCTGGGCAACCATAATTCTATTTTCTGTCTCTATGAATTTGACTACTCTACGTACTTCATATAAATGGAACCATGCATCATTTGTCATTTTGTGACTGGCTTATTTCACTCAGAATAATGTCCTCAAGGTTCATCCACATTGTAGGATATGTCAGAATTTCCTTCCTTTTGAAGGCTAAATAATATTCCAATGTATACAAATATACCACTTTTTGCTTATTCCTTCATCAGTGGATGATCACTTCAGTTGCTTCTACCTTTTGGCTTTTGTGAATAATGCTGCTATGACTATGGATGTACAAATCACCTTTTTTAGTTTCTATTTTCAATTCTTTGGGCTATATATATAATTCTATGTTAATTTTTTGAGAAACAGCCATATTGTTTTCCATAGCTGGTGTAAATTTTACATTCCCACCAGCAGTGTATAAGCATTCCAATTTCTGCATATCCTTTCCAATACTTATTATTTTTTGTTGTGTGTTTTTTAAAATTTTTGTGTTTTTCTTTAAAATGATCATCTGAAGGGTGCCCCAGTGGCTTAGTCAGTTAAGTATCTGACTCTTGATTTTTGGCTCAGGTCATGTTCTCAAGATTGTGAGATTGAGCCCCATGTCGGGCTCCATGCTCAGTATGGAGGTTGCTTGAGAATTCTCTCTCTCTCACCGTTTGCCCCTTCCCCTGCACACACACACACACTCTCTAAAATATTATCTCCCTTTGCCCCTTCCCCAGTACACACACACACACACACACACACACACACACATTCTCTCTCTAAAATACATACATACGTACATATATTTTTTTTAATTTTAAAAGAAGATCCTCCTAATGTGTATGAAATGATATTTGATTGTGGGTTGGGTTTTACATTTTCCTAATACTAGTAATGTTGATTGAGCATCTTTTCATATACTTAAAAGCCATTTGTGTATCTTCTTTGGTGAAATGTCTATTTGGGTCCTTTCCCTATTTTTAAATGGATTTTGTTGTTTTTCGTTGAGTTGGAGAAGTTCTGTTTATTTTCTGGATATCAATTCTTATCAGACCTATGACTTGAAAATATTTTCTCCTATTCCATGGGCTGCCTTCTCACTCTGTTGATGGTATCTTTTGGTGCACAAGTTTTTTTTTTTTTTTTTTTTGTTATTTTTTTAAGATTTTATTTTTTCATGAGAGACACACAGAATGTCTCTCATGAAAGAGAGGCAGAGACACACAGGCAGAGGGAGAAGCAGGCCTCATGCAGGGAGCCTGACCTGGGACTCCATCCCAGGTCTCCAGGATCACGCCCCGGGCTGAAGGTGGCGCTGATATTATGGGGTCTTTGGAACAGAAATGTAAAGGATATTCTAGTTTTCCCACTGTGAAAAACAAAATAAAAAGCAAAAACCCTTTGACCTGTTGGGGAGGAAAAATTTTTCTTTACACTTCAAAGTTACTCTGCTTGGTGTAAGAATTAAATTGACATGGATAGATTAATAGGAAGAAAACCAATTTAATTCATATGTTTTGGAGCTCATAGAAATCTGAGTCTCAGAGAGGTAACCAAAGTAGGCAGGCTTGACACTTTTTAGACAAAAAGACAATGCATCTTTGAGGAATTGAGAAGACAAAGAAGTTTGTGCTTGGGGTAGTATATTGTTAAAGAAGTTAATGAGGTTTGTTTCTGCAGCTATCTCAGCCCTGAATCCGTCTCTGGTCATAGCATGTTTCTTCACCTCCAGGAACAGTAAGAGTACCTTTCACATGGGAGCTTTATTTCCTGCTTTCAGGGAGACAGGAAGATTAAAGTGTCCTTTTTGCACTGGTTGTTGTTAAGTAATTTAATTTAAAATAATCAGTATGCAAAAAAAAAAAAATCAGTACGCTTAAGTGGCATATTTAGGGTTGGCCTACCCTGAACCCCATCAAACCCTAGATACTTAGATATTTTTTCACAAATTGAAAAATCATTTGGATTATGTGTAACAGACTTTCTGTGGCTTGAATTAATCAAGCAAACATTCATGTATTCAGCAAATATCTAATGAATGTCAGATGCCAGTTTTTAGTAACCGCAGGAGTACAGATACAAATATGACACATTTAGATCCTCAGATTAGTCCCAGTTTAATTGGGGAGAGACACACAGAAGAAAATAATTGTACGTGCAGTATGCTATGTACAATAATAGAGGTATGTGTGCAGTGGCCAATTGAAAGCATAGTATGGCTTGTAGAAATGTGGAGTGTCTCCATGGAAGCGTGCTAACTGGCCACAAAGCATCTTTTAATAATGAGTTGGAGTTCTGCCGGGCCAAAGATGTTACCTTGTCAGTGCCCTGGAGTTGAATATATTCTTACTCTAACTTGTAATTTGTAATATATCTATCACAAAGATTTTCCTTTCATGATTACAACTTATTAAGATATGAACTCTTAGTTCCAGGGTCCCACATGGTGGATTTGCTAATATCATGGGTGGAAGTGGATTGCAAAACTTTACAATTGCTGCTGTGCCATATACTCCAAATCTCCTACCAACTTCAAGCACGTGGTATGTTAAGGTGGCTTATTTAAATGCATTGTGAATTGTCTTGATTACTTTTGAAATGATTAAAGGTCTAACTATTATACTGCTACATTAAAGGAAAACCTCAACAGTAATCTCTTTTTAGCTTTTTGGAATCAGTGATAAATAAGTATCAACATAATTCATTGCCTCTTCCTTTTCTGGTAGGGAAAATATTTGAGAAAATGACCTACCAATAATTTAGTTGAATGTCGTTCAAGTATCACTGAAGTTACACTGTCATAAGTATCACTGCTGAGTTATACCATCACTTCACACTAAATTCCCTTATTGCTTATTTATTTCAGACTGAAAAGAACTTATTTTCTTCCACTACATTTGCATGCTAAAGGAAACTGCAATGCAGCAGTTTTTTTTTTCTTTTTAAATACTACTTCAGGGTTTTCCAATTTGAATGCAAATTTGAGAGGGTGGTTTTATGTTAATTTTGAGTAGTGTTTTAACTGCTAGACAAAACAATAAGAAATTTCATAGATTTCCTTTTTAATGGTGGTATATTTTTCTTTTAAAGCATCAACATGCTCAAGTTACCTGAATACCCAAGTAAAGAAATACTCAAGGACAGACTTCTTGTGGCGTTACATTGTGGCAGCTATGGTTACACAATGGCTTAAAGAACTCTGGAAATTTCATCCGATTACTGATGCGCAATTCAGAGTGGCAGAAATAATTTAGGAAACTGTCAACAGAAAAGGAACCTAAATGCACCCCATAGGCAGGGCTGATGTTTAAAATTCATAAAGGATCACGCTTTCTACCCTCCCTTCCCGCTTCCCTTTTATGTTTTCTGTTTGCGGCACAATTAGAAAATATAAAATCACAGTGGTCTTCAATTTAAAAAGTGCTAATTGAAAGTAGTAGAAATTGTCTTTTTTCATATTTCTTTACTCTTATGCAAGATTGTGTTAAGGCAAAAATCTTATTCTACATTCCACCTCCACTATGTAACTGTCTTGTTGAAAGGGTGTTTTCTCTTTATTTTCCTATATATTAAATTATATTAGAACATCCAGCCTGGTATGTTCTGTTGCATGTAAAGTGCTGTTTATATTTTAGAAAACTATTGTATAGAATGTATTAATTTAGATTGTGTATAAAGCCACAAATATGTATTTTCCCATATTGAATCTATATTGCAATGATGTTTTTTAGCTTTTTAATATTTTAATATATAATGTAAAGTTTAGACTGATGTGACTAACAGCTGATGAAATGACAATTTATATATTAAAGCTTATATTGTATGGATTATTTGCATCTCTCAGTGGTCAGTTTTCCATATATGTATTGTAGTCTCAAAGTTTTTCTTATGCCCTATTTTAATTTGTATTTTAGGCAAAACTAAATGTAATATTTTGCCACGTTCTTTTTATTTTATCTGTGAGTTCTGTTAACATTTGAAGAAGTAATCCAGTGTGCAGATTACTATTTAAATATGTAATTTTTTATTCTTGTTTGTTTTTTGTGATTAAAATACTGAGATCAGGTGACATATGCCTAATACAGAGCTTTGGGTTCTTAAATTTTATGGTGATCTAATCAATATTCTTTTGAAAGGATACACTTGAGTAGTTGCAGCATACCTTTTAAGGGGAAGTAGGAATGCTTACATATTTAGAAGTGCTAACAGAGGAACTTATAATGTCTAGGACTTTGCCTTTGGAAACTAAAAGTACACTATCCAATGGTATTGATGTTGGTAAAATGACTCATGCAGATTTTTTTCTATGAGTGGCTAGTCATATTTTCAACATACATTGACAGCTTTGATACGTTATAGAGCTTCTTGAATATATGTCTTTTGGTCTTTTGTTATTGCAGATATATATATATACGTATATATATGTATTGATATATATGTAGAGAGAAAGCATTTCTGAACAAATTAATTTCAAAACTAGGAATTCTTTAAAAATGACAATTAGCTTTAAAATTAAGACTCAGATGCATATTTATGATAAATGAAGCTCATTAAAAATTTGTATTCTCAAAGTTCACTTGTTTAAGAGGTTGCCTTCTGGGTTTTCAAATAGGTAACTGACCGCTTTAATATTACATTCCTTATAATTTTAATGTTTACAAACATTTATTTCTGTTTTGTACAATACATTGGGTTTTGTCAGATTGGTCCTTCTGCAAGTATTTATGTAGAAGAGATATTAAAATATTAAAAATCTCATGGTATTTTACCCCTGAATTTGAATATTTTTGATACAAATTTAGCAAATTCAAGGTTTATTTTTTATGTTGTTTTTATTTTTTAACTATAAGAATGTAGTTAATATAAAATATTTTATATGGATTAAAAATACTATTTTAAGCAAGAGGAGCAAGTCTTTTTAATATACTGTAGTCCCATAATGTCTTCTGTAAGTAGATGGATACGTTGAATGCAAAGTAGTATAGAAAAATGACTAGAGATTTTTAACCCCTTTGGGTGAAAGATTACTTTTATAGGAAAATGACTCAGCCCTTAAACCATGTAGTGGTCCCATAAAATGAAGAAAACAGGAACACAGCACTCTAAAGCAATAAAAGTATAGGACAAAGGAGCACAATGTAAGAACCCATTAATAAAAACATTTGAGCAAGAGTAGATTAAATTGATCACATAGTTTGAAGGAATAGTGACCACATAGTTAATAAACTCTTGTAGTTTGTCCAGAAATAGTGTATTATCTAAGGAAATCCCAGCTTTATTTTTTTATTTTTATTTTTATTTTTTTATTTTTTAAAAGATTTATTTATTTATTCAGTCAGAGAGAGCGAGAGAGAGGCAGAGACACAGGCAGAGGGAGAAGCAGGCTCCGTGCAGGAAGCCCGATGTGGGACTCGATCCCGGGTCTCCAGGATCACACCCGGCTGCAGGCGGCGCTAAACCGCTGCGCCACCAGGGCTGCCCTTTATTTTTTATTTTTTAAAGATTTTATTTATTTATTCATGAGAGACAGCAGAGACACAGAGAAGCAGGCTCCACGCAGGGAGCCCAGTGCGGGACTCCAGATCACGCCCTGAGCTTCAGCAGCCACTCAACCACTGAGCCACCCAGGCATCCGGGAAATCCCAGCTTTAAAGAGTAGGTCACAATTTGGAGGCCTGGTAGGTGGTTTCCACTCAGTTTTGTTTGTCATGCCAATTCTAAAATTCTGAAATGAGTTGTCAACATATAAAAAATCCAGAAGTTTCATGCAGAAGTCTAGATTTTAGGCTTTTGAGAGATGAAGAAAACACTAACAATGTTGGGTATTGATTCCTAGAAGGCATAGTAGGTGCAATTGAAGAGAAGCTGCTTCTTTCAGTGACTGAATATGCTCTTCCGTCTTCTGTTTGCCTGTCCCAGCCTGCACCCCTGGTTTATGTTACCTTCCTGGCCATTGACAGCATTAGAGTTTGCTTTAAAGAATCTATATTTAAAAAAAAAAAAAAAAAAAAAAAGAATCTGTTGATTGGAAATGTTTCCCTGGAGTATAAATTGGCACAAATTCTTTGGAAGGCAATTTGGTAATGCCTTTTTTTTTTTCTTTTTTGTTTGTTTATTTGAGAGAGGGAGCAAGCACACAGAGAGGGAGAAGCAGACCCCCCCCCAGCAGGGAGCCTGATATGAAACTTGATCCCAGGACTCAGATTATGACCTGAGCCAAAGAATGGATGAAGAAGATGTGGTTTATGTATACAATGAAATATTCCTCAGCCATTAGAAATGACAAATACCCACCATTTGCTTCGATGTGGATGGACCTGGAGGGTATTATGCTGAGTGAAATAAGTCAGTCGGAAAAGGACAAACATTATATGGTCTCATTCATTTGGGGAATATAAAAAATAGTGAAAGGGAATAAAGGGGAAAGAAAAAATGAGTGGGAAATATCAGAAAGGGAGACAGAACATGAGAGACTCCTAACTCTGGGAAATGAACTAGGGGTGGTGGAAGGGGAGGTGGGCGGGGGGTTGGGGGTGACTGGGTGATGGGCCCTGAGGGGGGCACTTGATGGGATGAGCACTGGGTGTTATTCTATATGTTGGCAAGTTGAACATCAATAAAAAATAAATTTATTAAAAAAAAAATCGACCGAGCCACCCAGGCACCTTGGCAGTGTCAAAAAAAAAATTTTTTTTAATGTACATATACTCTGACTCCATATGAATTCTAAGAATTTATCTCCTGGATAATCTTGCTCATGTACATAAAGATATTTGTACAAGAATATTTCCTGGGGCACCTGGGTGGCTCAGTGGTTGAGCATCTGCTTTTAGCTCAGGTGATCCTGGTGTCCTGAGATCCAGTCCAGCGTCGGGCTCCCTGCATGGGCCTTCCTCCTCCCTCCATCCTGAGGGTTCTGGCCTTCCCAAGCTGCTTTTGTTCTGATTCCTCTTGGGTTGAAACAGACCAACTTTCCCCCTGTCACCCCAGTTTGAGGGGGGGCTGTATTTTTTTTAATGACACTCCAATTTCCCACCTGTTCCTTTTCTCATGCTGGTAACTTTTTTTTTTTTTTTTAAAGATTTTTATAGAGAGGCAGAAACACAGGCTGAGGGAGAGGCAGGCTCCCTGCAAGGAGCCTGATGTGGGACTCGAGCCCAATCCTGGAATCACGCCCTGGGCCAAAGGCAGACACTCAACCGCTGAGCCACCCAGGCATCCCCCATGCTGGTAACTTCTAACATCAATAGTCACTCGGTGCTTGTCTGTTTAGTTCTGTGTATAAATGGAATGTTGCAGAGAGGACTCCTCCTTGCACTGCCTGGTTCCCCTTCCCTTCTCCCCTGCTGGTGGCCACTCATGGAAGCAGGAGCGGTAAGGGACCTTCAATTAAAAAAAACCACACACACGCACACGCAAAATAAAATAAGTCTCCTAATTAAAGTCTTGCAAACAAATAAAGGAATGCTCCTTTGCCCACAAAGCTCTATTTCCACATTGCCTGTTAATTAGCACTGTTTATAGCTCTCTAAAATTCTACCAATTAGACATTTGAATTTATATTTTTTTCTCTGATTTTCCTTTTTTTTTAATAGCACTTACTTGATATGGGAAAATCTGGAAAGCATGGATTCATGTACTAACTGGGAAAAATCCATAAATTACAAGTCTACTACTCAACGGTGTTATTAGCTTCTAGTCCTCGTGCATTTTTTCCGTAATTGAGTTCATAAAGAACATAGCATTTAGTGTCTTTTTTTATTAATTCAGCATTATATTTTGTATATTTCCCATGTCATTTCAACTTACTTTTAAACATTTAAAAATAATGGCATAATATTCTATCATATAAATGTATCATAATTTATTTGACCATGTCTCTAAAATTTTTAACATCGATTTCTAATATTTTTGCTTTTATAAGTAACAGATGGTCTCTTTCAACACTGGTTATAGTTTAACAGTGGTAACATTTTCTGGGTTATTTGTTGAAATGTCCATCAATTGCTCTACAGTTGTGGAATTACTATTGGAAGGTTCAAGGAAGGGCTGTTGACACAGTAGGTAGGACCAAATAGCTTCGTTCCAGCAGCACAATTAGGGCCGTGTGCTCTACCCGAGTGTAAAAAAGGTTAGAGAGGTAGAAGGATGTGACAAAGGTAAATCAATTTTAATCATTACTTACTTCCAGTCTTCTTTCCAAGAGCAAGAGAGGAAACTCATCTACATGACATAATTCTCCTTCTCAGGACCCAGAACTTGAGCATTTAATATTATGTTGTATAGTCCAGCTTTGTGGACAGTTACTTACACTCTTATGGGTTAAACTAGAAACCTAGCTTCCATTTGCAAAGTTTTCCACAAATGGACTTAAAAGCTTTTGTCAAATAGTATGTGTGTATAACAGCTATCTCTCTGAGTGGGTTTTTAGCTAAAAGTAGAATTTTGCTGATTTTCAGCACAATTAGGCATATTAATACGTATCAGTAGTCACTATTTTTCTCATGAAATATGCTCCTCTGTTCTGTGCACATCCACAGTGGTTAGGTAACAAAATTTACCTCTAAAGTTAACTAGCAACACGGGATCCCTGGGTGGCTCAGTGGTTTGACGCCTGTGTTTGGCCCAGGGCACGATCCTGGAGGCCCGGGATCGAGTCCCACATCGGGCTCCCAGCATGGAGCCTGCTTCTCCCTCTGCCTGTGTCTCTGCCTCTCTCTCTCTCTCTCTCTCTCTCTCTCTCTCTCTCTATGTCTATCATAAATAAATAAAAAATCTTTAAAAAAGAATAAAATAAAGTTAACTAGCAACAAATCTCAATTTTACATGTTAGCTTAAGCTATCTTAATGTAGAGAGATTTCTGTTAGAATGTCCTTTATGAAACTCTTAAGTACCGGGTTATGGTTACATGCCTACTGGCCAGGTATAAATGGCACAAATGCACTTATTTAATTAATAATAAGTCCTCTCATTTTACAGATGAGAAAATTGTGGAGATCAGAGAGGTGGTGACTTGCTTAAGGCTTCGGGGCTACTTTACTACTAGAATTTAAAGCATTTCTTTTACTCCATGCTGTCTCTTTATGACATAACTGCATTATAAAAAGACTCTTAGAAAAACACCTGCAGCCTATTAACAGTCATGTAAGACAAGCCTGTTGGGAAACTATAACTTAATAAGCTGATAGTTAAGAGTGATTAATAGGACTATATTTCTTCTCTCCCACTGTGCCACAATAAGCAAGGGTGGGTACTTTACCATCTCAAGATGAAAAAGAACAGATGTATTGTCAGATCATAGATCATGGGTAGTCATTAAGTTTTATTATCTTTATAAAAATGTTCAATTTCAAGCATACTTGGTGCTTGGAAATATGTTGTGAACCTAATGTTGCAATACCATTAAAACCATAAACTGAGAATATGATGACTATTATTGTATACTTGTGTGACTAAATTGAGTCTAGTTGAGTGAAATGGAGGGCGACTCATACTAGGTGAGTGCTGGATACACAGTAGAGACAACTTTCCAAATGAATTCAACAAATTCCCCTTAAATTATTCAACACTGGTTTGGGGACTCGGTCACAGTCCCTACCCTCAAAAGGAAATAAAATTCGGTTGGGCAGACGGAAGGCATATTTGAAACATTTTAAAACAGCAGTATAGCCTATGATTAAGTGTAAAAACCAGCTACAGAAGTGTATTAGTGAAGGGGAAGAAGAGTTTAATATAAACTGAGTATCCAAGGTAGCTTCAAATCTTTGGCCTGACTGAAATGTTAAATTGCTCTGTAAATTTGGAGGTAAATAAATTGATCACCCTGTTGATTGAATAAATTACTGAAAAGCAGGTTACAAATGATAAACTTAACAACATAAGGCTAATATGTGGCAGTTGGG